ATTTTGGGACCCCTCTGCACGTCGCCTGTGCCCGGGAGCATCTGGACTGTGTCAAAGTGCTGCTCAATGCAGGTGTGTGGTGTTTACCTGAGCTGGTATTCACCTGAGCCAGTGTTTACCTGCATGGGTGGTTTTCTTGCACTGTGCCCAGTTCAGGTCAAACAGACCAGGGTTTGTAGTTGGCTCTCCCACTTGCCAGCTGAGACTTTAGACCTCAGTTTCTATATCTTAAAACTGCAGAAAACAAAACTTATTTTGCAGAGCTGTTGGGAGGATTCATGATAATGATTCCATAGTACCTGGTGTGTGCCTGGTGTTCTACACATGCCTATAATTATTTTTAGAGGACACAGGCAACTATCGCAACATCTGCCTGATGAGGCTGCTCTGTCTGAATCTGGGAGAGACGGGGGCCTATGGGAAATAGAGTTGGCAGCGTTTAGGAGAGTGGAGCATTTGGAATCCAGGCCATGGTCAGCTGTTCAAAAAAGGCTCAGGATAGAGAGATTCTCAAGGTGGAAAAACCCCAAGACCAAAAAACCCCAGCCAACTGAGAATTAGGTTCAGGACCTGCCTACACCAGAAGTTTTAAAATGTAGCCAAAGTGGATATTGGCAAGGTTTTTTTTTTTTTTTATTATGAAGCCAAGTTAAATGTTTTGTTGAAGTAAAATTTTAGCTCAGCCAGTTCATCCATGATGGGTGTGGCGTAGGATTAAAAAAACCCAAAAAACTGTTCAGAAATAGGAAGATTATGAATCCCCCCCCCCAGACGGTTGTCATTTGAGCTTAAGTTACATGTAGTTTTTTATAGAGAATCTTATTTACTTTAATGTACCACTTTTAGGTCTTTTTAGTGGAAAAGATTCATTTTGGGTAAAGTTAGTGATTGGGGTATTTTTTATTTTTAATACGGTGATAAAATATCCACATTAGAAATAGCCATAAGTTCTTCCAGCTGAATAGCTTATCCGATGACGGATCTGTTTCTATCAACGCAGGGCAGTTCCATTCCTGTCCGGCTTTTATGGGCTCAGTACACATCAGATCCATTTTTTTCTTTATTTCCTTTTTGTGTGGCTGTAGGGGAAAGGATCAACTGAGCATTTTAACGCCAGCATCCTTTCTGGATTAGTGAGAACTAAGTTGTGACTCCTTAGTAAGTGACAGAAAATCAGTTCCAATGGGGGGAACAGTGAAAGGCATTTCTTGGTTCAAGTAACTTAAAGGAGGAGAAGCAGAGCTGGTTTAGGGTCAGTTTGACCCAGTGGCTCCATAGTATCACCAAGCCCTCAGTTCCTTTGAATTTTGCAATTCTGCTTTCTTTAGTGTTAGCTTTACCCTAAGCCTAGTTTCACTGATAGCAGTCAAATGGCTGCAGCAGATTCAGGTTTAAAATCTAAACGCTTGGCTTTTTAAGGCTGAAATCAGTTCCAATGGGGGGAACAGTGAAAGGCATTTCTTGGTTCAGGTAACTTAAAGGAGGAGAAGCAGAGCTGGTTTAGGGTCAGTTTGACTCAGTGGCTCCATAGTATCACCAAGCCCTCAGTTCCTTTGAATTTTGCAATTCTGCTTTCTTTAGTGTTAGCTTTACCCTAAGCCTAGTTTCACTGGTAGCAGTCAAATGGCTGCAGCAGATTCAGGTTTAAAATCTAAACGCTTGGCTTTTTAAGGCTTCTGGTAGCTTCTTCAGAAGAATGAAGAATTTCCTTTCCTGCACACCTCCCGTATGTCCCATTGTCCCAAACTGGGCCTCATGTCCAAATCTTAACCAATCCCTTTGGCCTCAACTCTGCTAATTCTGATTGGCTCAAGCCAGGGTTATTTGAACCAATTACTGTGGTGTGGGGGGAGGGATTGAACCAATCAGAGCTCACACCTGGAGCTGTGATTATGTGGGCCCTGTTCACCCCACCCCAGCACCCCTGCTGCACATTACAAGGTGACAGCATGGGGGCGTGGGCGGAGGTTGGAAAGGAAGCAGGGGCAACCGTAACATCCATTATAGCCTTAAATCAGGATTCTCGGTAGCTCTCCAACAGTTTCCTTATACCTAGGGAATTAAAAATGAATAGAATTTTCTTGGGGAAGCCTCTCTGGTCTGATGTCAGGGTTAGCTTGATGCTCATTGTTACCCTCAAGCCGTCAGCTCTACACATTTTCTAATCTACTCAGATGGTCACTTTTAACATCCCTTGTTAGATCCAATGGATTATCTTTTTCTTTTTTTTTTTCATTAGAAACTATTTCTTGGCTGGCCCTGTGGCGCACTGCTACAGGGCGCCGTTTGGGAGCGTGGTGGTGCTCCCGTCGAGGGTTCGGATCCCACATACAGACCGGTTCCCGCTCACTGGCTGAGCTAGGTGTGGGCGCAGCACCGAGGGTTGCGATCCGTTGCCGGACACGATAAAAGACAAAAAGGAAAAAAAAAAGAAACTATTTCTTCATTGTGGGAAATATCGAAGCTACAGGGAAGTAGAGAGCAGCAGCAGCATGCCCCCATGAACTCCTAGATGGTTTAAAAGTAGTGATTCTGAGCTTCTGAGGTCGGCTCACAGACCCCCTGGAAAACCTAAGTAAAGTCAGGGACATGTCTCTAGAAAAATATGCAGGCACTTTCATGTGTAACTTGAAGAAGGCCCAGGCCCCGTGTGAGAAGCTGAGCTATGGAGCAACCACCTTGTACCTGCGGGGTGGTTCTCCTTGTTGGCAGTGAGGCCAGGTCAAGGAACTAGATTATATCTGCCAAGGAGGAGGGCTGGGGCAGGTGAAAGTCCAGTTATTATGGTGAAGCAATTTTTAATCTGCTCACTAAATGTTTAACTCTTCCGGGAGCATTCAGAAGGAGCTAATCAAGGACTGCAGCTTCTACCTTCTCAGCACAGTCCTTGGCACGACGTATTTCCCTTTATTGTTACAAAAAGTGTGTACTGAGCCATTTGTGCTTCTGTTCCACGATTGTGCTGGCTCTTGGTGTGCTAAGGTGCGTTAGTCTCTTCACTCTGCTGGCCATGGTTTTACTCTAATTAATTAGTTCACTTTAATCCTATTTCACTTTGGAATTAGGATTTTGATAATGAGCTGACGTTGACCCCTTTTCTCTGGAGCGTGAAGCTGAGAGTTTTTAACGCGAAGGTGGTGTGGGTTGTTTTGCTGGATTCCAGTGTCTGTCTGTGTCTCTCTGTCTCTCTCTCACTCTCATTTCAAGGCACCCTTGGTTCAAGGTTAACCATCCTGCTCCACACAAAGCCACTTTCTTTCCCCTCCCTTCCCCCTGCTTTCTCCTTTCCTTCCTTCCTCTGTCTCTGTTCATGCCGCCGTCCCACCTGCAATGTGTGTGTTTTATCTCTTTGTGGTTTTGTGAGCTACACATATCAGTCGAGGCATACCAGGGCACTTCAAAAAGTTCACGGAAGAATAGAATTAAAAGATAATAGGGATCTTCCCATGAACTTTTTGAAGTGCCCTCGTATATATTTGTAGTAGACACAGATGACATCTTGCTCTGTCTTCCTTACATGCAGCACTGCACTTCCATGCTCCATCTGAGTTGCCTGGTCTGTGCACGTCCAGTCTGGCATTTCTAGTGGCGGCCAACAAGCCCAGCTTCCCTCCTTATTAACCATCCTTTCTTTACACCCAAACGATGCCAAGCACATGTTTTAAAAGATCTCACTGAGTACTCTGGGAAGGCCACCTCTTTGGAAGAGTCACTGTCCCTGGCCTTGTTTGTGGACCTGCCATTGCCAGCAGCATGGAAGGGAGGGTGGTTTCTAGAGCTCTTTCCAGCCCCGGTTTTCTCTCGGACCCTGTGAGAACTGCTCTGGTTCCCTTCTGCCCCTTCTCCACTATTAAACAGCAGTAATCACAGTCACTTTCCTTCCCAACGCAAGAATGTTGCCAGCATTAATCACATGAGAGAAAGCTATTTGGATGTTAGATTCTGTGGCCTTTACAATTGATTTTTCATTACAAGTGCATGTTTAGTGTTAGAATGTACCTTTGCATTATGATTGCTACACTATAACAATTATTTATTGCGACAGTACTGGAAGAAGACCCCTGATGTGAGAGAGTGTTTGGATTGTGGGGAAAATATTTCTTTTATGTAATGGATTGCTTTTTATTATTATTTTTGTAATCCATTTCTGCCAAATTAAATAATTAAGTAATCCAGCCTTCTTTCTAATCGAGGGATCCTTTTCCCTGACCCAAATGCTGAGTTTCAGCTGTGGGAAGTGGAACAACCTTTTCGTCGCTTGTGTTATCGTGTTGGAGTGCCTGCTGTATTCTCAGGATCTCACGTGAACACTGTTATGAACATGGTTCTTACGTTCTGTTAGGGGACTGAAAATATTTTTAATCAGAAGGCAGAAAGCAGGATTTTTTGAATGTCTTTTGAGCAGTGACATTAAAAATTGTAAAAGCCTGACCCTCTAAAATAATCATTAATTGGTGGCATGCTGGTGGTCTGATTTTTTAAAAATCTTGCTTCTGGTAATATTTTGTGATTGTGGTTTGAATCTGTTTGGGAGGATTATTTTATTCTTGCTCAGCTATTTGCTTGGTTTCTCAGAAATACTTTTCTCTTTTTTCGCTTCTCCTATAACCTTTTTATCTACCCAGGAGCAGACTTCAAAGTTGATATTTTCTTCCAAAGAAAAATTTGAGGCTCCAGGAGATCCCATTGTATACTCACAGAATCAGTGACGGCCGTGTCCTAAGAATGGCATTTTACACAAATTGTATTTTTATCAAAATATTTATAATGCATTGAAAAATGCCATATTTAGCTACAAATTCTTGCATCTTTCTGAATGTCTGCTATTATCCCGAGAAGGATGAGGAGGGCAGAGCTGAGTTCACAGTTAGGAGACTTCATCTCTTATCTGAGCTCCATGTCATTTTGGGTACATTATGTTTTCCCTTTGTTCTCCCCTTTTGTGAAAAAAATATTTATATTTAAGGAATATTCATTCTTGCATTCAACCAGTATTTTTAGAGCCTCTGTCTTGTGAGCAGCTAGGAAGAAGTAGGACATGTCTGTGCACATGGGCGGCTCAGCCTGAGCTTCCAGAAATCTAAGGATCTCTGGGGCAGAATGTATAGGGTGTTAGAACTGGCGGTTAGCACATGATGACATTTTTGGTTTTATTTTTCTTCTTTTTGGTTCTGTTTCCAGTTCTATTTCTTTATCATTTGCTACCTGTTTTTAGCTCTCTTCTCCTAAAAGAAAATAAAAGTAATCACTGCTTTCAGATTTTGCAAAACATTTTTGAAAAAGCTCCAGGAGAAGTCTGTCTTGGTTTTGTTTGCTGGATGAGGACTGCTTTTGCATACTGTGCTGAGTGAACTACAAGCCACTTTTTCTCTTGGCTCCAAATCCTCTCCTTGGTGACATTTGTTCTCTGCTCTGGGCCTCCAGGGGCCAATGTGAACGCAGCCAAACTTCACGAGACGGCCCTTCACCACGCGGCCAAGGTGAAGAACGTGGACCTCATCGAGATGCTCATTGAGTTTGGAGGCAACATCTATGCCCGGGACAACCGGGGCAAGAAGCCGTCTGACTACACGTGGAGCAGCAGCGCCCCTGCCAAGTGCTTCGAGTACTACGAGAGTGAGCGGCTTCCGTCTGCAATATCCCTTCTCCAGGCAGCCAGCACCTCCTGCTTTCTGTCTGCACCCCTGCCTTGCTAGTTTCCCCTGAGCTTCTGCTGAGGGCTTGGTCTTTAGCCCTGAGTGCCTGTGCTTTGCCACTAGGACATGCACCTGAGACTAGTCTGCTGGGGCTGTTTCATGCAGATGCACCAGTTCCTCCTGGGTGCCCTGGGCCGGCGACACTCTCTATGAGAGTTGGACACGTGCCTGGAGCAGCAGGAGCTCACTGCTAGCACCTGCCCTGCCACCAAACCCTCTACCTGTGCCTTATTTGGCTGGAAGCTTAACAAACGAGCCCACTAGCTGCAGATTAGTTCTTTGCTGACAAATCTGCATGCTGAGCTATAATACGGTGGCTTAAAAAAAACAAAACAAAAAACCTCCCAAACCCACAAAATGAAATCCCAGTGGACATCACCCACATTCTATTTCCTGATCTTCCTTCCTTGGGTCCCTTTCTGGCAACCTTCCAGAGAAGACATGCCGGGCACATCCTATTTCTAGGGGAAAGGGAGGATTTTCCAATTCCATCTTGGAATTGGTCGAAGGACATTATGCTCTTTCCTGAAACTGACCTCATGTCCTTCCTGGTTCCTTTTTTACAGAGACACCTCTGACCCTGTCACAGCTCTGCAGGGTGAGCCTGAGGAAGGCCACCGGCATCCGCGGGCTGGAGAAGATCGCCAAATTAAACATCCCTCCCCGGCTCATTGATTTCCTTTCCTACAACTGAACAGTGGGAGCAGGGGCCAGGCAGGCTGGGACTCACCTGGCTGCTTCCCTGGCTGTGCCCAGTGCTGGGCTGGAGAGATTCTGCCTGTTTGTTTGAAATGGCATAAATGCTATAGATAGAATGGCGCTCCTTTGAGTGCTTTCTGGCTGTCCCGTTCCATCTTCTCTCCTGAATCCTGGGAAATTCCCACGCATTGGGAAGGCCTGTGTCTCAGATCACAGTTGTGGCTGTGTCCCTGTGCTGTCTCACCAGTCTCCCTCTTTTCTCCCACCTGCCTCAAAGGCTCTCTCAGGATAGGTGGCTTAAGGAGAACCGAGGAGGCAGGCGGGGCTGGGGCCCCAGGCACTGCTGTCGGTTTCCATGCTACAGACATACCTGGTCCCAGCTGCTGGCCATCTCTGAGTCAGCACCAGGCAGCCCTCCATGTTCAAAGGTGGGATTCCGACCCCGTGGCCTGGGACAGCCACTCTGCTACCACATGGATGCTTTTTCTGGAGAAGTGGTTGGCATTCTCCATGCCCACCTGTGCCCAGGTGTATCCGTCACTCAGGGGCTTTATATGGATCTTAGTGGGGGAAGGCTCTGGCTTTGTACCCCCACAACTAGCACAGTGTTTCTTAGGAAGTTTGTCTTCAATGTTAGGTCTCAACTCTTTAAAAAAGTTTACGTGGGATAAAAAACTTTTTGCAGTTTTTGAGGCTGCTGTAACACTAATGTTTTGTAAATGAGCCATTCAAACAGAAGGGGACATGACGGCGTGTTAGTGTATTTCTCACGGAAGTCATTTCCAGTATAAACGGCTGTTGGGAGACTCTTTAGGGATTGTTTTTCATCTGTTTCCACAGTTGCCAAATGAATTTTTCACCCACCTGAAGTTTCGCTAACTCCTTGAAGCTATAAAATGAGGAGAAGCAGTTGCCAGCACCCAGTGGGTGCTATCACTCGCTAATCCTTCCATTTTTGTGGATAATAACAGTAAATGATTCTACATGATAAGCCACAAGGTGAAATATTTAGTAGTCTATTCAGACTGCATTTGCCCACCTAAGATTCTGTATCTCAACAACAACGAAAACCACACACAACAGGGAGATGAACTAGAGGAATTTTGTGTAGTTAATTCAGGTGTATCTGGTTTCTGGGGAAATGGAGACAGCACCACTTATGAATGTTCATGTGGTCAGTGTGCCCAGAAATGGGAACGGGGTGGTCACCAGATACTCCTGGGTCTGCCTCAGCCTCCCACCCCCAAATAGCATGAGACGGAGCCGGCCCAGGTGATGCCAATTGTGTCACATGACCAGAGGCATCTCTCCACATGGTTACTTGGGTGGGGCCACAGATCTGGTGAAAGACTTCGTGTTGGTGCGCTGGATATTTCCTTTCTCCAGTGTGTTAGCCGTCGTCGTGGCAGGACTTCCTCTTAAACCAAGAAGAGCCATTCTCGTTCTGTTATAGTCTTAGATACAAGTTCTGGATAAATCATTGTTTCTGCATGGAATAATAATTTTTTTAAAAAAAGCGTTGGGTTCTGCCCCTTTCATCTTCATAAAGAAACTTGCCTCTAGCCATGAAATCTGCAACCATCTCTACCCCATATAGCACTTAGTACAGACCAGATCCCCACACTCAATGAAATATTGCTCAATAAAAGTGGGTGAATGAGGTTTATCCTGTGTTCATGTGACCTTGTTCTTATGGGGGTGGAAACACTGGGATAGGTTTCATCCTGTGTGAATGAAGAGGGTTGCCCTCTGCTTCGTGTGTTTTAGAAGGTCAAGTGATGGCTGCTGAGCCTGCTGTGCAACCACACACACCTTCTGCCTCCTCCCCGGTCTCCTGTCGCTCACTTCAGCATCACCGTGATGTGGACCTTCTCGGGGGAGACAGACACTGTCCAAGGGACCCGAAGACTGGGATTTTAGGTCCTCCTCCATCCTTAAACAGGGCTGTGACTATAGACAAGTTTGTCTGCTCCTCTGGGCCTCTATTGTCCCAGCTGCAAAATGAGGATGACAGGTCAGACTTTGACGTCGAAAGGAGCTTGATGACAGCCATTCAACCAGTCCCTTCATCTCACAGGCCCCAATAGTCTTACAGGTTTCTATGAGGCTGAAGCAGGTTTTTAAAAGATGCCTTGAAAAGTGTAAAGTGCTCCCCAAATATAAAAGGTATGTGGCTATGACTGCAGATCTTATAGCTCTGTAAACTATTCTCATCTGACTTTGAGATGGTTCCCCTATTTCAGGAGGACTATAGTCAGGAGACTTCTCAGTTTACATTTTGAAACTTGATGTGCAGTTGACAGATTTGGAGATGACGTTTGCAACATGTATAACAAATAATTGTTAATCAAAAAATATAAAGATATATCTATAAACCGTCAAAGAAAAAGATTATTAATCCAATAGGGGAAAAAAACAAACAACCCCCCCCCAAAAAAAAACAGGCAAAGAAAATGAACAGGGAATTTACAAAAGAGGAATTTTCTAATGTCCACTCAAGGGAAAGGCTGCTCAATAGTGATCAGGGAAATGCAAATTAATGAATATTTAACTCAACAAAGTGATACCATTACATACCATCATCGTGACAAGCATTGAAAGGTCTGAAAATTTCATGATGGGGAGGGACTCAGAGGCTGCTACTGGGGAATAAATTGATATCTCTACTTTGGAGAGCTATTAGGTAATATCTAGTATAATTAAAAATATGCATCCTCCATATCCCCAGTAATTATTTTATAAATACACCATAAAGAAACTCTCAGACATACCACAGGAAGATATGTATGAGGATGTTTAGTGCAGCAGTATTTATAATAGCAAAAGACCCCCTCAATCGGGGCTAAGTTGTAGAATATATTCGTATAATGCCTATGCTCTATAAAAGTTAATATGAATTAGAGACGTGTTTTAACAAAAATAGATCCAAAAACTATAATGGTAGATGAAAAAAGTTGCCAAATCTTATTTATATACAGTATGCATCTACTTGCATAAATTTAAATATGAAACAGTCTAAGTATTTAAGGATACCTATGTATGCAGTGAATGTGTAAAATCACAGAACCCTACACCAGCGTCAAGGCTGTGGTCACCTCTTGGAATTGAGGAGGAAGATGTGACTTGGGGGTAGGAACAAAGAGAACATCAACTGTAATATTTCATTTCTTAAAAGCCAAATGAAGCAAATATAGAACGCTACTGATTGTTCTTGTTGGGTGGTGAATAGACACAGGGGTGTTTTTCTCCAGGTGTTTCAGTATATAATTTTTTTCATAATAAAAATTTAATGTGTACAGAAGTTGAAAAAGAGCAAACATGTCTTTCTTTAAAAAAAAAACCCCAAAACCCAGGAAGGGATCTGTATGACCGTTATCTGGATTCCGCTTAAAAATACCTTTCAGCTTCCTATTGGCCACGAGGTTGTGGTTTTGGTTGTAAGATCTTGTATTCCACGATGGGTGTTTATGCTGTTTTGGAACTACTCCTCTAAGGTAAACTAGACGTTAAAAGCCAGCCTGTGCCTGGCCACCCCTAAAAAAAACCCCCAAAACCCAGGAAGGGATCTGTATGACCGTTATCTGGATTCTGCTTAAAAATACCTTTCAGCTTCCTATTGGCCACGAGGTTGTGGTTTTGGTTGTAAGATCTTGTATTCCACGATGGGTGTTCATGCTTTTTTGGAACTACTCCTCTAAGGTAAACTAGACGTTAAAAGCCAGCCTGTGCCTGGCCACCCCGTTGCTGGGTGCTGCCTGCCCTCTGCAGGTGGGAGGCTGGGGGGGGGCGGTGAGGGAGGGAGTAGGGGCCCACTGGGGTACCAGCAACAGCTCCTCACCCCTGTTGGGCTCCTGGCTCCTTGTGCTCTTTAGGGGAGGGAGTAGGGTCTCGTCTCCTCTTGCACCACAGAAATGCTACCTGTGGTATCCCAGCCAGCTTCTGGATAAGTCTGCAGAGAGCTGTGAAGTCCTTTGGGACAAGAGAGCACCTCTGCACATCTGTTTCCTCCCAGGTTTGCTTGTTAGAACTGCTAGAACTGCTGCTCACGCTTTCTTTCCAGGGGGCAACCCCCTTTCCTTCATGAAAATGAGAATAAAGCTGACTCCAAGAACAAAGCGCCATAGTCACGCAGACTGAGGCAGGCCACAAAGGACGCCGGCCTGGGCAGCCCTGCAGCATTTACCGTACTCCCTGTAATGGCCTGGAAAACAGTTCCAGACCCTGGAGTCTTTCCCCTTTCTTTTTCCTACGCAATGGTAACACGTGGCATTGATAACCAGACCCTAGTTATATGGCATGAAAGTCTTGTGATCTTCAGCAATTTGCATGGAAAAATGTCTTAAGTCGGTTCACTCTAAAGCGAGTGCCTCCTCAAAGCCTCATGTCTCCCAACCATGAACAAAGAAAGAAAAGATCTCTCTCATACACACACCCACTTGTTTATATAAAAATTTCCAGCAGCTGGTCTCCAGGTGTGTGGTTCTTGCAAACACAGACTTTAGAGCTGGGGAGAATTTGCCACCAAACTCTGAGCCAGTGTGCCTAGTTTAGCTGTCTGCATGCTGAGAGATCAACAGAGAAAACTCCGACTGCTTTTTTGGTGTTAATCTGAGTCCTGAAGCTCATCCTGCCGTGCTGGGGACTGAGGGCAGAGACGGGACGAGAAGCAGGAACGTTCACTCTCTACCTGGTCCGCTTTCCCATGCAGTCATCCCCATCCTCCTTTCTTTATTATTTTTATTATTATTATTTTTAAAAAGTTTAACTTCTCAATATGCATTGCAGTTGATTTTCGTGACCCTTTACCTGTTCCTCTTTCCCTTCTTCCTCTCTCCCCTCCCTCCCCACATCGTATCTGTTCACTTGTCTTAACAAGTTCAAGGAATTGTTGTGATTGTTGTGTCTTCTACCCCCACCCTTTATTTGTTTGTGTTTATTTATTTATTTACTTTTAGCTGCCACAAATAAGTGAGAATGTGGTATTTCTCTTTCTGTGCCTGACTTGTTTCACTTAATATTATTTTCTCTAAGTCCATCCATGTTGCTGTGAATGGCAGTATTTCATTCTTTCTTATAGCAGAGTAGTATTCCATTGTGTAGATAGACCACAGTTTCCTTATCCACTCATCTGGTGATGGACATTTGGGCTGGTTCCGGCTCTTGGCTATTGTACATAGAGCTGCAATAAACACTGGAGTACCGGTATCCCTTCGGCATGATGATTTCCATTCCTCTGGGTATATTCTCAGCAGTTTGTTTCTTTTTTTTCCCTAGTTATATTTTACATTCTCTCCTGGGCATGGAGGATACAAAATAGGTAAAAACAAATCTTGGCCCTGAAGGATTTCGGAATCTGTTTCTCAGTGTGTTAGTCCATTTCTGTTGCTGATAATGGAATACCTGAAACTGGGTAATTTATAAAGAGTGAAATTTATTTCTTACAGTTTTGGAGGCTGGGAAGGCCAAGCTCTAGAGAACACATCTGGTGAGTGCTTTCTGGGTGGTGACTCTTAACAGAAATGCAGGGTGTTATGTGGTGAGAATGGCCTGAGTGAGAGAGAGCTAACCTGCTCACTTGCTTTCCTTATGAAGCCGTCAGAACCACGCCCATGACCACCCATTAAACCATCAATGGATTAATCCCTTCATGAGGACAAAGTCCTCACCATCCAATCACCTCCTAAAGACCCTACCTTTCGGGCCGGCCCGTCGCTCACTCGGGAGAGTGTGGTGCTGATAACACCAAGGCCACGGGTTCGGATCCCATATATAGGGATGGCCGGTTTGCTCACTGGGTGAGCGTGGTGCTGACAACACCAAGTCAAGGGTTAAGATCCCCTTACCAGTCATCTTTAAAAAAAAAAAAAAAAGACCCTACCTTTCAAATTCCATAATAGGATTTCCCACCCTCTTAACAATGTTACAATGGAGATTCCAATACATGGACTTTTGGGGACACTTCTGACCCACAGCACTCAGGGAGCAGGCATAGGAACCAATGCTGCCTACCTTTCAAATTCCATAATAGGATTTCCCACCCTCTTAACAATGTTACAATGGAGATTCCAATACGTGGACTTTTGGGGACACTTCTGACCCACAGCACTCAGGGAGCAGGCATAGGAACCAATGCTGCTGCAGTGACGTAGCAGGTGAGGGGCATGATGTAATCAGAATGCCTGTGTCCCCCTACTTCATACACTGAAATCCTCACCCCTAAGGTGATGGTGTTAGGAGGTGGGGGCTTTGGGAGGCGATTAGGTCATGAGGTGGAGCCCTCATGAATGGGATTAGTGTCCTTATAAAAGAGGATCCAGAGAGCTCTCTCCCCCTTCTGCTATGTGAGGACACAGAGAGAAGACACCATCTATGGACCAGGAACTGGGCCCTCACCAGACATAGAATCTGTTGGCACCTTGATCTTGAACTTCCAGCCTCCAGAACTGTGAGAAATAGATTTCTGTTGTTTAAAAGCCACCAGTTTATGGTACTTATTATAGCAGCCTGAGTGGACTAAGACAAAGCCTAAGCCCCAAACAGGACAGGAACAGCCCAGGCTAACTCTGCCAGGGGACACTGGAGAGGAGAGATGGCCTTTGACCCCATTCTAAAGTCTTGGGTTAATAAAGTCCGTTTATTAGCATCAGAAACAACGTCACTTTTATG